TTTTTTTTTTTTTTTTTTTTTTTTTCTGAGGTTGTGACGTCTCCACTGTTGGGTCAGATTGCAGTGCATTCTGCGTACTAGGGGTTTGAAAACATTGTCAGCATGAGAACTTTTATGTCCTGCACATGAAATTTCATGCACTATCTCAGTATATAGACCAGACAGGCTCTGGTTAAAGTAGGGGTGGAGGGCCCTGCCCACCTGACCTTTCCCAGAGGTTCTTCCACATCTTTTCACTTCCCCACCCAGGAGCTGACCAGGGTCTTCTGAATGCTTCTGTCTGCACAAAACAATTTGGAAATCACTGCTTTGGTTTAAACACCCTTCTTTAAAAGTAGACACAGAAGAGAGACATGGCAATCTGGGGGACTTTCTGAGAAAAAAAAAAAGATTTCTTCTCCTGAAATAACGTCTTCAAAATAATGTCAGTTTTTGCTAACACAGAGAATCTTGGAAAAAAGAAAACAGGTTACCTACTTATGTATGAGCCTAGACACATTCAAAGCTGAGCTTGGTTTCTAGGCTGCCTGTCTACCTTTCCAGTGGTGCCTGTGTATCAAAAAGTATGATATAGCAGAGGCATGTTTAGACTTCTACTTTCATTGCCATGCTATCCTAGTAGGAGCTGTCTGATGCTGAAATTAGGGAATTGGGTCCCCCTGAAAGTTCACAGTTGTACATATGTGCTTCAAGCACATACCTTCCAGCTATCATTGATTCAAAGTGCTGTGTAAAACAAACAGTATAAGAACCATCCGGAAAAATAGTAGAGTTAGTCCTTGAGTACCAAAGGCAAGAATGGCTGACATGTATGTATTGTGATTGACTCATGAGATTAGAACTCTTTTATTGAGGATAACAAATGACCTTATTCTATAAGATCTTCTGGATTGTAGAAACCCAAAATAATAGGCCCGAGGAGAAATAATCACACCAGTTGTATGACTGGGCAGACAGATAGCAGGCTATTTAATATTAGAGAAAGTATGTGGAAATGAATCCAAACTATACAACCCAGAGAATCGTTGTATACATTTCTTAGAAGTCACTGAACACACCTTTCACTAACCTCAGTTCTTACAGTCACTCCCTATCATCTCATTGCCTAATTTTATATTCTCCATTATTTTTATCAATACATAAACTTGTTGTATCTATTTATTTATGTGTCTCTTATCTTCCTCCCACCCTCAGTAGGAAGAATCTTCTTTAGAGCACAGACTTGGTCTTTCATGTTCACTGCTGTGTCTCCAGCATCTAGAACAGTATATGTTATATAGTAGACGTTCATTAAATATCTATGGACTGACTTATTGATTGACCGACCAAGTTGCCACTCTCATCCAAAAGGCTGGTAATATGTCGGGTGCCATCAAGTAAGAAATTAGACATAGGTCTAAAACATTATCCTTTCATTATATAGAATCATTCAGCCCTGAACTCTGCGTCCTCTATGATCATTGGCATTGTACCTCACAAAACTTCATGGAGATGGGTGGGTCCAGGGCCGATAGTTAGAGTAATCAAGAGAAGGATGATTAACAAGGGAAGAAGATAGGAGATGAACTGCTATATGAAAGCAAAAAAAGGCCACAATGACTTCTCAGTCTGAAAAGATGGAGATTAGGAAGAAACAGAATCGTAATTTTTTAATTATGAAAAGTATGGTCAGGCTAAATGCAGGCTTCTTTGCTGGTAAACTAGAACCCAAAAAGTCAGAATGAGGTACTTTTAAGGCACAGGCACAGGCACAGGAAAAGGTGGTAGAGGCAAAAAGTTTATTTACATTTGTGAATTAAACTATTACCTAAAGTCATCAACTATTATTTAAAGTCATTGATTATTATTATACAGACCTATTTCAGAGTGTTTCCCAAAGAAAGACATCCTAATGTAATGGAAAAATTACTGGACTTTGTGTCTGACCTTCACTCTGCCCTGACCTCAGACAAGTCACTTAACCATCCTAGCTTCAATTTCCTCTTCTACAAAAGGAGAACTTGTAGTGAGTGGCTACTTGGGTCCCTTCTAGAATAGGTTGATATTTCATAGTACATCCCATGGTGAAGCTGTCAAGGCATACCACAAATATAAATGAACCCAGTATGAAAATCTCCATGTTCAACTCTATGGAGATCCAGACTGTAGGTTCTTTCATAAAGCTTGTTGTGTCAAATTTTCTGTTATCAGTTTTTTATCATTAAAAGCTTTCTGGCTGTAGTATAGATAATATTTTGAAAATTGGCTCTTGAAAATTCCCATTTTACAATGAAATACAGCCCATGAACATCTTTGGTTTAAGGTAAAAGGAGTACATAGAAAATACTAACTGGTCTCTTTGCTGGAAGCCATGTCAGTAGATAACATTTATTTCTAAAGATGAGTAAGTTGTCTTCTTCCCTCTTGTGTTTCATATTTCTACAATGGACTAATATTTTATGTGAGATCAACAGTTTATAGGATGAGTAATGAGCTACTAATTACTTACGGAATAACTGATGGGGAAATTTGATAAATCTGTCCAAAAATCTTTGATAAGGAAATTGTTAAAGTTTTTCCACTTCAAGGTCACCCCTTTCTAGTGGAAGCACATTTTTCTCAAAATTTGTTCACCTTGGCTTTTTTCTTCCTAATAAGTCTGGACATGCTCGGTTTTTAAATGATTATTTAAGCATACTTTGCTACCCCACTTTCCCTGGCTTCATCTTTCAACTGCAGTTAGATGATCATGAGATAATCAGTGAACAACAGCCTTCTACCTAGCCCTGAGATGACTGAAACAACCACATAATTAGAAGTAATTGAAGATCTTTCTGAAAATAAACAATGACAACAACAGACATTGATGACTCAGAAACAGGTCCAGTGTTAAGTATTGGGCTGCTGATTGAAAAAAGAATACCACATTGACTGTTTATTTATTTAATTTAAACAAAACCCAAAACACCTCCTTCACTTCTTCTGCCCAAAAGAGAGAAGGGAGAAAAACAACATTTGGTAGGAAAATCACAGAAGAGAAAGAAAGAGAAACAGAAAGAAGAAAGAAAATCGCAATAATAGACCACAGAGGCAGTGACAGAACTCAGAGGGGCTGGCGAGAAGCCAGATAGTGAGACACAGAAGACAACAGCAACACATGAGGAAGGAGGGAAGTCCAGCCGGTACCTAGACCTGAACCATCAGAAGTCTCAGAGGGCATCACTTCATTTTAGTCAGGTAGTGGTCTTGAACTTTTAGCCCCCTCTTTCATTGTGTTTCTGGGATCCACCCCATTTTTATTATCATGGTGATCACAAAGAGACAGACCTCCATCACCTGTGTCTGCACTGTGTCTGCCTCTCACTTGACTCTTTAGTATGTCCTACGCACGAGTGACAGATGAATCATCCTTAAATACCACCCTGTACACATCATTCCACCGTTCAGAAACATTCTGTGGCTCTCCTGCGTGTGAATTAATTATCTTAAATTCATATACTAGGTGGTCCATAGCGTGGTTCAGGTCAGCCTCATAGCTCAAGAATTCCTTATTCTAAACTTTGGCTTCAGCCAAACTGATCTACTGTTGTTCTCATAAGCACCCCATGCACATCTTTCTTTCATTACTTTGTTCCCTCCATATCCCCTTCCCAGAACATCTTTCTTTTCCTTCTCGTTAAATATAGTTGATTCTGGGAAGCATTTCCTGAATTTCCCAGCCCTCAGGGACCTCGTAGAATTCTTTGCCTGAACACTTAGAATACTGGTCTTCACCGTGAATTTAACATGTGTAGCATTATGGTGCTGTCTTGCCAAGTCTTCATCCACTACCTTAAAATTATGTTGGAGGGTCCTTGATGACAACAAAGACATTATGTCATTCTTCTTTTTATCTCCAGCATTTAACTCTTTGTAGATGCATAAAATAGCTGTTTTGTGTGACCAAGCAAAAATGTTCAATAATTTTTTTTTAATTCCTTGTTTTTAGTATCTCAGTCTTTGATGGGCACTCCCATCTCTCACTAATTTTAACAACATTGGGGATTTAAGAAACTGTCACAGAGTGGATTTGGGTGTGTACTGCTCTGTGGTCTCTTGAGGCTTGTTCTTGGTCTTCATACCCATTGGAATAAATGTAATGCTTCTTGAAATTTGGCATCTCTTCCTCCTTGAATGCTTTCTATTTCCCTTTAAGATGTTTAAAAATACCATCAGAATCAATAGTATTTCTGTGGCTGATGGTGGAATGGAATCAATCTTTTCTCCTCTGGTTTCTCTTCCTTTAAATACAGATAAAGAGGAAGTGCAGAGGAAACGGCAGAAGCTCATGCCCAATTTCTCGGACAGTTTTGGCGGTGGTAGTGGCGCTGGAGCTGGAGGCGGAGGCATGTTTGGTAGTGGCAGTGGAGGAGGGGGTACTGGAAGTACAGGTCCAGGTACTGAAAATTTATTCTTTCTAAAGTTTTTCATATTGAAGAGGGTAGAATTTTCTTTTCCCAGGTTTCTGAGCATGACCGTGGGTTGAGTGGCTATGACATTATTAAGTATGATATATTAATTAAAATTTTCCAGCACATGTAAATTTATTTTCCAAAGAAATGCATGTTCATTTTATAATATGTAGGTAATCTCAAAAACTGTAAGAAAAAAACGTCGCCCAAGGCCAGTTATCTGAAAAATACCTCTCTAAACATTTTGGTTTATTTCCCCTGTGTGTGTGTGTGTGTGTGTGTGTGCGTGCGTGTGCATAGTTGTCTTGGTATTCTTTTGAAAATATTTTGCATATACTACATTGTAGTTATATGTTACATATCTGTATATACTACATTGTAGATTATATATACTACATTGTAGAAAATTTGAAAATATGTAAAATCCTGCCATCAAAGGTTAACCACTTCTAATCTTTTTTTATGTGTACATTATAGTAGATAATTATGAATTTTCCCCTGAGTACAGCTATGGCCATCATTATGCATATTATTTTAATCCATTTATTTGTATTAGCTATTAATTATCATTGCACCATGACTATCTGTATAGATTCATATGTGCTGCTTTTACCTAATATGTTAACATAAGCATTTCCCCAATGGTAATATAAACTTTATGTAAGTGTAATTGTTTAAGCATCATTTTTAATGACTCAGAATATTTTATTAAGTAAACAGACCATAGTATAACTTACTTGAATGTTGCTTCCCATTTTCTGTATAAAATGCTGTACAGAACTCCTATTCACATTGCTTTTCTTTTATTACAGATTATTTTTGTAAGTTAGATTCTTTGAGGTAAAATTACTATGTCAGAAGGTATGACATCTAATGCCAGCTGCTTCCCCAAACAATTTTACCTGTTTATGCTTCCACAAAAAATGTACGAGAATGAGCAGTGGTGGCCATTTTTCCATTGAGGAGTCAGTATGTTTTTGTGTTTTGTTTGGTTTGGTTTTTCCCTCCAGAGGTTACTTTAATGTCTTCTATGTGAGCAAGTCTGAGTTTGCATGGTGACCACTCAGTCAGCCTCTCACCTTCACACGGGTGTGGGAAACTCTCCATCTGGAACTCTTCCATGCTGCCCAAGTCCAGGGCACTGCCTGAGTCGACAAAATGTAAACTTGGCCAAAGCGGGCTCCTGATTGTCCCATGACCGCCACGATGCATCTTATAACTCTCAGCAGGAGCACCATGTGTGGGCACAACATGGTCCTCCCACTCCAAAGTCTGTGCTCACCTGAGGGATGGTCACTAAGGTTTGCTGAGTCTTTGTAAAAAGTCTTCATGCTGTTCCATTTGTTTTACTTGCCATTGCAGGGTATGGCTTCCCACATTATGGGTTTCCTACATATGGTGGAATTACCTTCCATCCTGGAACCACTAAATCTAATGCTGGGATGAAGCATGGTAAGTACGACTTTTTTTTAAAACCAAGGAAAGAAAAAAATTGCCAAAAAAGGTTTTTTAAATCATTACTTATCACAATGTAATTATCATCTTGAAAAAATTGATGAATGCAAATAAGCTAAGAAGATACTTTTCCAAAAATTATTATTTCCTGTGGATGGTATAAATTCTATTCCTGATGCTTGTAAGTGGCATGAACAGGGGAAAGAAATGAGCATTAAAAAGAGACATACAGAGTCTTTACTATTCAACATTAAAAAATCACCAAATTTATCTATTCTCTCCTATTTTTCCTTAAATACTACACTTTTGAAATAATTTTGAGTTTAATAGGGTTGGTCTTTTCCCATCAAATGCATACCCTGACTAACAGTTATACTGTGTGTTCATAGTTTATATTACATGTCAATTCTAGTGTACTCATTAAATAGTACTATGAAGTCTTCCCATTTGTTGAATGCCTATTTTATACCAGGTGCTTTTACATATTTTAACTGTGATCTTTACAACTGCTCTGTAAGGAAAATATTAGTATCTCCATTTTACAGACAGAAGGCACTGAAGTTCAGAAATGTTCATTCACTTGCAGAAGGCACGTAGTTGTTAGTGGCAGAAACACAATTTGAACCAAATCTGCCCATAAAACCTAGGTGCTCTCATAGTACCTGTCACATAACATAGTCAGATTTGAAAGAGCGTGATCAGAAATGGTGCACTAGATAGCTCCCACAGTAAAGAATGTGGATTGAGATCACATCTTCACAACTTGTTTTATTAATTGGCATTAGGAAAGAGATACTCATAGCTGCTCTGCTTTCAGGAACTTTAAAAATTCCACTTTGCTGCAATTCACAGAAGAGCTTTATTTCATTTTTCTCCTTTACGAATAAACAAAATGATGTGTTTTTATAAGTATATTTTTTAAATGTTTTTTCAAAGTGAGAGTTTTAAGATAACTCAAAACATGTTATTTGTGATATGACCATTTTAAAAAGAATTTTTAAGTATTGTTTTTCTTTTCCCTTTGCAGTAAACTTGCCTCATACCTTTATCTGGCCTACATTGAAACAATGAATTATAACAATTAATAGATTTTACTGAGAAAAAGTTAATGTTTTTGCATTTATCTTGGGAACTATAGACACTGAATCTAAAAATGGCCCTGAAAGTTGTGACAAGAGTGATGACAGAGAGGCTGTAACAGGCTCTGGGAAAGTAATTGAAACCACAGAACAAGATAAGGAGGCTTGCGAGTCCAGCAATGGGAACGATGAGGTTGCTCTGACGTATACAGTGGGAGTAAAGGAAGAGAATGCTGGGTTTCAGGGTAAGTGGGCACACAGATGATTACATTATATTGGTTGGCTGGGCAAGGGTCAATTCTAAGTGTAGGAAGCTATTTCCAGAAGACGGGTTTATCTTCTGTTAATCTAAAGATGATATATCAATATCTAGTTCAATGTGCTCTTCAAAGCCCTGTATGCCTTTTGAAAAGCATGTGTCTTGTACCCACACTGGGATTTCCATTTTCCCAGTGTTATCTTTAAACATAAAGTACAGAAATTTACATGCACATTCTCCTTGTAATCATCCAGTTTTAGGGTGTTGTGAGAGATAATCAACTTCTTTTCTGGCACAGATAATAAATAGAGAACAGTTTCCATAACCATAATATCACCTCTTTCTAGAATCTAGTTTAACTGTCATACTGAAATAGAACTTTGGGGGCCGGCCTGTGGCTCACTCAGGAGAGTGTGGTGCTGATAACACCAAGGCCACGGGTTCGGATCCCATATAGGGATGGCCGGTTTGCTCACTGGGTGAGCATGGTGCTGACAACACCAAGTCAAAGGTTAAGATCCGCCGGTTTGCTCACTGGGTGAGCATGGTGCTGACAACACCAAGTCAAAGGTTAAGATCCGCCGGTTTGCTCACTGGGTGAGCATGGTGCTGACAACACCAAGTCAAAGGTTAAGATCCCCTTACCGGTCATCTTTAAAAAAAAAAAAAAAAAAAAAAAAGGGAGAGTGCAGTGCTGAAATAGAACTTTGCCTGAAAATAGGAACTTTTCTTTTTCATCCTGTTGCCCTCTTTGAAGAAGTTGGATTAGGAGAAAATGTACGTTTGTGTTCACTTTGAACCAATATTCATTAGTGTATGTGTCATGATTCCAGATCATCCTAGATTGTGCTGAGAAGACTTCTTCTGTAAAGGGAAAAATAGTAATTATTTAGACTTGGTGGCCACATATGATTTCTATTGCACATTCTTTTTTTTTTTTTTTTAACACGCTTTTAAAAATGTACAAACTGTTGGGCCGGCCCGGTGGCGCACTGCTACAGTGCGCTGCTTGCGAGCATGGCGGCGCTCCCGCCGAGGGTTCGGATCCCACATACAGACCGGTTCCCGCTCACTGGCTGAGCAAGGTGAGGCCGCAACACCGAGGGTTGCGATCCCGTTGCCGGTCCCGGTCCGGTACGGGCACGACACTGAGGGTTGCGATCCGTTGCTGGCCACGGAAAAAAAAAAAATAAAGAAATAAAATGTGGATTCTCTAATTGTGGAGGTCATTCAATCAAGGGG